GGGATATAGTAATGCCAATAGAAATGGTGAGTAGAAAATAGCAGGTGGTTCCATGAATACATCAAAGCATTTTGTTGATGAGAAAGGGCCAGGTAAACCTTGGTTTCTGCCCTCATCTAAGAGAGGTATCCTCCTGACCACAAAACTGGTCTTCCTCCATGGAAACGTGAGGATTTGGAATGACCACATAAGCACTGAACTCCCATTGTGAATCTGTAACTGACAATACCCTGCAGTGGCACTCCACAGCTACTTCTGCCTCCAGGTGTTTTCTGTGCAGCATCTGTTAGCTCACCTGTGTCTTGGCTCACTGGGTGACTCTACTTTCCTTCCCTCAGTGCATCAACCACCTATGGATCTAGCTTTTTCAGTGTTTTCAAGCTCACTGCAATAGAATCAATCCTTTTGCCTAAATTGATCTATTTAAAGCACTTGCAGGTTGGCAATAGCATTGAAGGTGATAAATGGGTTTGGGAACATAGTAAGTGTGTGTCACTTGTCTGTCTCAGCTGAAATTGATACAGTGAAACAAATGGTCTTTCTATTAACTTTCCATGCCTATTGGTATGCAATCCACCTCTAAGCCATGCAGGGAGGGGGAAATCTATTGTTTTTTTTCTTTCTATGTGCTTGCTTTTGAATGTATGAATTCTGAATGGTTTTGAGGAACGCTAAAGCTATTGATTTTTCAACTTGGCTGCCTGAAAACTCTTGGCAGAGGAGCTGGATTTTTGTTTGTGACTTGTAATACAGTGGTTAATTGCATTCTTCACTGACCAGAAACAGTGCAATGAGCTCGGTGTAGAATGAACTTAAATAAATGTTAAAAATCTGTAAACAATGCGAAGGAGGCCTTCCTCAAGAGCACAACCCACTCACAAATGCAAAGCAAGAAATGGTGACTTACATGGACAGATTGATGGTGGGGAATTCCTTGTTCTGTATGCACCAGGTCTCTGCTCTCTAAGGAAATGGTTATCAGAGTAGCTACACTGAAACAGTTGTCATTGCCTTTCAGTGCAAAGTCTTGCATAGATAATTTGCAGTGTCTTAAAGCACCAGCTGAACTAGAGCTTATTATGATGTGTTTTCTTGCTATAGGTGCTTGTCCACAAAGGAATACTAGGGTTTAATATTTGCACGTGTTTGTGCAGATCATTGGACAACTTGACACAGCCATGTACGTTATTAGATGGGCAGCCACTGCATACCCTGTTCTGGCTGAATTAAATGAACACTGTCCTCAAATTATAGCAGTTAAAGACAGCTCAGATTTGGAGCTTAAACTTCTTGACAGCCTTCCTTTAATCTGGACTCTATGGTATTTTCAACAAGAAGTGTTATCCTATTTTCCAGAGGTCAAATAAATCGGCTTTAAGCTCATGGAAAGGTAAACAGGCTGATGCCTGCGTAACTTTTCTGAGTTTATGAGATTCTGGCAGTGGGAACACAAAGAACCATCATAAATCCTACCTCACACAAGCACCTCATTCCTGGGATGGAGCGAGTATGTGGGAGGTTCCTCTACTGCTCAATGCAGTTTCTCCTAAGACTATAATTAGGAGATATTAAATCAGCAGCAGTGTAAGCCCCAGTAGCAGCCTTTTTTATGCTGGATCTTTTTCCACTACAGTTCTGAAAAAAAAATCACTGTGTTTTGGGAGAGTGAAGAAGATGGATCAGGAGACAGCTTCAGCCATGCTGGATGGTGCCATTTTGACACTACATAAACAGAATTTGTAGTTCCAGATGAAAAATAACTTGGGATTACATCCTGTGTTTTACATCCAGCTCCTTTGAGCTTTTCTATTATTGTTATTTTAATGTTTGTGAAAGTATGTCAGAAATCTTTCAGTGCATTCATAGATCTAAATATATGTATATACATGTGAGTATGTGTGTGTATATATATTTATATGTAAAAGAAGTCCATTGTAAATACATGTCATTCTATAAATGACTAGACTGTGTGAGGGTTTAAATGTCTTTTAAAGACCTTTTCAGCAAAAGGGCTTAAATTATTGGCTCTCATTTTGGAGTCCTGGCTTTAATGAGATCTGGCTGGCAGTCAACAGAGATGCCTTAAAAGCAATGACTAGAAGAACACTTCATGAAGCAATGCAAGCTTGCTTTACAAACAAGGGCTGCTAATGAGGAGAAAGGGGGTTTGACTGCAGCTGATGCAGAGGCTTTTCTTACCATCACACCCCTCAGTGTGGCCTGAATGTGATCATTTTTACCAACAGGATAGCAGGAGGACATGGAGCTCAGTGCCGATTGGGTTCCCTTGCTTATTGTAGTTCTCAAGTTCTCTTGTGGCTGCGAGTCATAGAATCACAGATCTCTAAGTCCTGGGCAGCTTGGAGTGTGTGTGTGTGTATGGAGGGGGGAAATGGGTACATTTATTTCGTGTCTGATTTGGTTTTCCCATACTTATGTCCTCTGAAGATAAATACAGGGAGACTTCAATTCTTTTAACAGTGGTATTACAGTAAAATCTACAGCTCCCAGAAGTCGAAGTGGGGGGTGGGGATGATGTTATTTTAAAGGGTCTACATTTGTATTAAGAAGCTAGCCTGGGGTTTGTCCAAGATGGAGCAGAGAGACCACCGAGTAGTCTCATCAGCAGAGCACTAATTGTGGCCATTTATTATAGTCACTTATCTGATAGTAGCTTCTTTATCTGTGATAGCTTTACAGGGATAAAATCCACCAGGCATTTGCACCAGTATATAAACATGTTACCTTGTGGCAGAGTGTCTGTTACTTACTGTCAACACTTGCCAGCAAAAAAATGCCTATCTCTAGCTTATATGAAGTAATGATGAGTTTAATATGCTCCAGTGAAAGCCACAGAATAAACAAGGCATCACAAGTGTTTGCCTTGTCTGGCCTCTTAAACAAATAAAGGTGACTGAGAAGTACAAACAGCGCTGGGTCGTGGCTTATCAGTGTGAGCACTGCTAATGCTGTGCTTGTAGGATATGGCAGGAAGCACCCAGGGAGCCCTTAGCAAGGGGCATGGGGTGAGGTTCTCCCTACCAGCATAGAGATGGGATATGGAAGAGCCATGCTGATGGTGTAGATCTTGTGCGACAAGGAGGACAGTGTGGTCCCTCTCTGAGCTTCCAGTTTGAGGGAGGAAAGCGGCACCAACTTGTGCTGGCAAGTGAGAAAAATTAAAAGTAGTTATATTGCTGGATCAGTGAGAGCAGACTCATTTTAAATGTGATTGCTCATGGGCAAAAATTGAAGATACTTGGATCTGTGGGTAGTGCCTTTGTTAGGGAATAGCCCCTATTAAGGAAGGCACTTAAGGCCATCCATCCCCTGGCTGACAATAAATAAGCTTGCTTAGCTGCACTGTTGATCTTACGATAAGTGATGGAAATACATCCCATTTGTCATCATGAAATGCTGGGGACAAGTGGAGCTAGCTACCTCAGACAGCTGCTTTCCATGTTGAACACTGCATAAAATCACCAGAAAGGGAAAACTTTGTTACAGATTGAACACTTTGTAGAGGATGTCAACGTAGAGATTGATCAAAGCCCATTTGATCCTCACAGGCTTAAAACTTGCACAGAAATTGCAACATCTTTTGTAGTTTGTAAAGGCACTTGGCAAGCATAGACATCACTTCTCGACTTTGTGGAAGGGGTTCTGATTCTTAGCTGTACAGATTCAGCTCACTGCATTCTCTGTGCAAAATGTCACATGCAGAATGTATTTGCTTGCACCAAATGTGAATTTTCATGCAGAAATTACCTTCCTGCAACTCCGGCTGTCAGGATGGGAACTTCCTGCTTTGAGTTGGAAAATGTGAGGCAATTGCAGCTTCATCTTTTGCAGTGAAGAACAGATGGACTTGAAAGCTTTATTGTCTGCTTTCAGCATGCTTATTTCTAGGGCTGCACACAAACAGCTGGATTGTTGGGTGACAGCATGGCATCCATTTGGCTCCGGGAGATCATGTCATAGGGAAATCGTTTGAAGGGATAATTTCATTTGGGCTTGCTTTTGCCCTGTAAACAAAATGGCCCAGGACCAGATGAATGGCACCAGCAACACAGCCCACCTGTTGGCCAATCCCTTCTAAAAATAGCTGAATGAAAGGCAGATGTGGGAGTGCTCACAGCTAGGCAGCACTGCCTGGGGCCCTAGGTAGGTTGTCCATCCCATCATGTGCCCATCAGACCCATCTCAAAGATGCTGCTGGTGCTTATTGATTCACAGCTCAAGAGGTTGGTGTGCAAGAGTTGGTGATAGGAGCTTGAGTTCCCAGCTGCAGTTAAATGCGTTGCGTATCAGTGGAAAATGTGGCCTAGTTTCTCTAGCCAGCTGCTCCGTGGATCCAGCCCTGGATACAACAGTTGAACTAATCTCTTTGCACAGGCAATCAAAACCCAGTGGTTAAAGCCAATTACCAGTGCTGTTGATGGTGCGTGAACCAGAGGAGGGCTGGCTGCTTTTCCCAGGGCTGCACAACTTCTACATTGCTAGCGGAGTAGAAAATACAAAAACAAGGTATTATTTTTGTCCGTAAATGAAACATATCTGCCTCAAATTTCCTGCAGAAGACAGCAGATCCATTGAGTGAAAGCGTGTCATTTTTATAGTCATGTCTCTGAGCACAACCACATTTAAGAAAGCCACAAACCTGGATGGCAATATGATTTTACATTTTAAAAAAGATTTAACATGTTACAGCACATTTTCCCTGGGCTATGGAGGAACTGTTTCTTGCTTAGCTGTGAGTTCATAAATTATCAGCTTGGGTTCATGCACTATTGTGTTTCAGGACAGAGCTGTTTTACAAATAATGCAAGGCAGTTTCTCTCTTCCATGGGCAGGTACGTGGGGAGAGCCAGCCCATCTGAGTGATAAATACTGCAGGGCAACAACAGAGGTGAGAGCAACTGATTCTGATGGAGTTAAAAATCTGTTACCACTTCAGTGGTTCTTGCTTAACCTCCTGTTTGCAGAGCTGATAACGCGACTATAAAGTTCCCTCCTGGCTGAATGCTGGCACAGGCATTTCTCAGAGCAGAAGTGAATTCCAAATACAAATGGCAGAACTGCTATGAATAAAACTTTCTCAGTGCAAATGATAGAAATGTGAATAAGTGCTGAGTCGGATTTGTGATGAGAATTGCTCAGGTTCAGGGAGTGTCTGACTTCACAAAAACAACTCTGCAAAGAGAGAAATTTAAAATAAGAGTTACCATGGCATAGAATCATGAAGGTTGGAAAAGACCTCCAAGATCATCAACTTAGCTGTCCACTTATTACCAATATTTCCCACTAATTCATATTTACATGTTGTACAGAGAGATGCTTCTTGAACACCTCCAGGGTTAATAACTCCACCACCTTCCTGGGCAGCCTGTGCCAGTGCCTTGCCACTCTTCTGAAGTAAAAAAAAAAAACAAAACCAAAACAAAAAATTATTTCCTGATGTCTAATCTGAATCTACCTTGGTGCAACTTCGGGCCGTTCCCTCTCATTACTGGTTACAGGGTTGAAGAGGTTGACATCCACCTTGCCACAACCTTCCTTCAGGCATTTGTAGAGAGTGATAAGGTCTCTTCTGAGCTTCCTCCAGGCTGAACCATCCCAGTTCCTTCAGCTGCTCCTTCTAAGACTTGTGCTCCAGACTCCTCACAGCTTCTTTGTCCTTCTCTGAACATGATCCAGGGCCTTGAGTACTGAATACAATACTCATGGTGCAGCTTTTGGAGATCTTGTGCAAAGCTACGGGCTCTCTTTAGCTTTTTGCTGCACTGAATGTAGACAGAAATGAGAGGTAGAGATCTGCTCTGGAGACCATTGCCACCCTTGGATTTGCAGCTGTGGCAGTGAGCTGGAATGATATCTGGAAGGGAATAGGGCTTTTTCCTTCAAAGCGGGCCATTCTCAATAGGAAGATAACCCAAATGACTTCTCTGGACAGCCCTGAAAGGATGAGGAGGAAGCTTCCTATTTCTAGGTCCAGGAAGAGGTGGTTTCTGAGGTCTAAGTGGGAAGTTGCATCTAGAAGGTACAACTTCAAATCCTAACTCCCTAGCAAACTATTTGTAGGAAATCTTCCTGCTCTGTGAATCTCAGAGAGGAAATTCCTTCACCAAAGCCCAGTTTAGCCAGCTTTTTATGAATGGCAGTTAGACTGGACTGGAGATTACCATTGGTGTCTCTCACATGCTCCCTAATTTTTAAAACTTGATACTGCAGCTGTGACAGTGCTACGGGGTTTTGTAGTTATCAGCCATAACTTGCAAAGAGTTGCTTGGCCAGAATGCAGAACATGTAAAGCTGTTGCAAGTGTATTAGTGTGGGAAAGAATGGTTGCCACTGGATTAATGCCATGGGTTAGCTATTTATTTATTTTTTTTAATTCAGAAATGTAGCTTAAAATTATAACATTTTTTTTTAGCTTTTTAATAATAGTGTCATTTGATTTGATCATTGCATTTCCTAAATAACTTCTTGAATCCCTAATTTAAAATTGCTTTTCAGACAAGTAACTGCTGGTGCCTATTCTTGCCCAACATCCTCGCTCTCTTTCTCTGCTCCTACCACAAGCCGGAACTTACAACATCAGCTTCTTTGGGAGTATTTTGATGCTTTCACTGCCTGCCAAAATCAGGAAGTATAATACACAGAGAAAACTTTTTTTAAAAAAATCCATTTTACACAAATATTCTTTACAACTAGATATCCGATGCAGCTGGGAACAGGTTATGTTGTCTGCTACTCTAAATTTAAGTGTGAGAATCTTGTGGCACAGTTGTGATGACACTGATGCCTGAATTCTGACTAATTATCCCTAATTGATCCCTAATTCTGTCTGAATTAGGGGATGATCATGGAATCACCTAATCATAGAATCATTTGATTTGGAAGGGACCCTTAGAGGTCGGCCAGTCCAACTCCTCTGCAGTGAACAGGGACACCTACAGCTAGACAAGGTTGCTGAGAGCCTGGTCTTGTGCTGTGGCCTGGTGTGATCATGTATGAAATACTGGGAGCATGAGTAGACGAATCACGCTTCATGAGGATGCCAATTCTCAGCCGTGCTGTTCCTACACTGCCCCAGTGCTGGAAAGGACCCATGTTCAGGTAAAATAAGTAACCCTGGGAAGATTCAGGCCCATTGCTTGAAGAACGTTGCAATGTTGAGGCACAGAAGGATGGATTACAGATTGTTCAGCCTGAATTCCATCCCAAAAATCTGTTTAATCCCCCTTTTAATACTTGTGTGAGTGCCAAAAATGTCTTTTATTTGCTCCAGCAACAGCAGCCGGTTAGTTAGATGCTATCAGCTACTTCTTCATTCAGTTGTCCTCTTCATGCTGATAAATACCACAGAAGACAGCAGAGAGAAACCTTAAGCCACAAACTTATCCTGTGTATAATAGGATGCACCTTGAAACAATTTTGATGTCTCCATTGAAATCAGCTTAGGTTAAGCCTACATAAATAGTGTCAAAGGGGAACACACCCAGAACGCTCTGGGAGATCATGATAAACACTCCTGATGCTTTGCAGCTGTGCTCATCATCTGTGCATTACACAATAAAATTTTACAAAGCATCCAGACACCCAGCTGGTTGTATTCACTGTGAGATGGCTTCCTCCAAGATGGTATTTTGCTCTGTGTCTGTGGCCCTGTGTTACTCCCTCCCCCAACTTCACTCCTCATCACTTATTTCGTACTAGAGATAGCTCATCTTACTATTTTCTGGATCAGTGGGCTTTGGAAAGGAACTGTACTTGCTTGAATGTGAAAAAAGAATATTCCCTGGATAGAAAGGAGGTCTGAATGACAGTTAATTGGATCAAAGAGCATGCGATTTCTAAGTTTCTTTCAAGTATTTTTGAGTCAGTATTTGCCAGCGATTGCAATTCCTCTCTGAAGTGACAGCCTGGATTCTGAAACTTCTGTATACATGGTGAAGTTCTTCTCCTCCTGTCTCTGTTCTGAGACATGAGATATCCCAAAAGCCAAATGTAGCTATTTGTCTGAACATTGCCCCTTTCTGTAGAAGGGAATGAAGGAAATCTAACTAAGAGGGCATGCACCTGAGCCTCCTCTCACTGACAGCACATCACTGGCGTGACTCCCTTGATGAAAGTGGAATTCACCCTGATTTACACAGCATTAATGAGAGAGGGTTCAGGTCTTAAGTGCTCAGGCTTAGCTGTATTTCTTCTGTTTTCATTCCTTCCCCAGCGATTCCCAGGAAATATCACTTTGGGGAGATAAGTGTCTAGAGGAATGTTCAAATTAATTTCAGAGCTGCCTGAAGTGGCCATACAGATAACCAGCAAGAGGAAATGCCCCAACAAAGGGATTTATTGTACTATCACCGCTCTTTGCTGAGCTACAACATCTTAATCTTTCATGATGACATTATTATGAACCAGCAATAGCAGAGAGCCCTGAGAGCCCAGAACACTGTTTCCACAAGACCTGCTAATCCTTGATGTTAAATTGAGTAGGGCTAATCTCAGCTTGATGTCTGAAAACTTGCTGAGGGTGCGCTTGATCCCCCCCCCCATGTTATTAATAAAGTTATTAAATAGTGCTAGTACAGACCTTGAGGAACACTGCTTATCACTGATCTCCACCTGGACATTGAGCCATTGATCACAACTCTTTGACTACCCACATAATTTCTTACCCACAAATACTGTTCCATATCTGTATCTCTCTATTCTAGAAACAAGGATGTTGTGCAGGACTGTGTCAAAGGCCTTACAGAAATCCAGGTACATGATAATATCAGTTGCTTTTCCTTTGTCCACTGGTGTAATCACTTCACAACAGAAGGCCTCTAGTCTAGCGAGGCACAGTTTGCTCTTGATGGAATCGTGTTGGCTGTTGCCAATCATCTATTTGTCTGCCACATGCCTCATATGACTTAACATAACTTGCAGGAAGATCTGTTCCATTACCTTCCCAGGCATGGAGGTGATACTCACTGGCCTACAGTTCCCAGCGTCTCTATTTCTACACTTCTTACAAATGGGAATGATATTTTCCTTTTTACAGTCACTGGGCATTTCACCTGGCAGCTCTCACTTTTCAGATAAGATAGAGAGGGGCTTGGCAGCCTGCTCTTTCAGGATCCTCGAGTGCATCTCATTGGGCCCCATAGAATGCCTTCTATAGCATCTTCAGTTTCCTTGTGTTTCCAGTGAAAGAAGTGATTTTTTCCTAACCGGTAATATTAAAGGCCATAAATGGACCATTTCTTGATTCGCTATGCATTACTCCATTTTTTGTAAGAACCAGGACTAAACACAATATGACTTTCCCTCTCAACTTTCAGGATTACAACAATTTTCTCCAATTTCACCACACTTACTTTTAGGCAGTGATCTGTGTTGTTCTGTAGAATCCTTTCTTCTCCTGAGGTTGGATGTCAGTATTGAGTCTGAGACGCATTTCAGACAGCTTGCATCATTGTATAAACAGTGATAACAATATTTAATGATGATGAATCTGAATTTCACCGCAGAACTATAAAACAACCAAGAGAATGAATTATGCAATTTACAGCTAGCAAAAAGGCAGCCAAAGGGAAAGCAAAGGCTGTGTACAGTGGAGAGACAAATTTAGTGGTCTGAGAATACAGTGTCATTTGTTTTTGTGTTTAGTAGCACTTAGCAGCCATGGTGCATAAATAATCTTTATTACATGGGAACCCGGGAATGCTGTTGGCGTCTATTTGTCACCGTGGGAGATGACCACTCTGTGTGGAACAGCAAGGTGGATCCTGGGTTAAGGGTCCACCTGAGCCTTGCTGTTCTCCAGATGTCCTGGGGCCCATTCTGAGTGACACCGATCTTCTTCCCTCCACTGGGTCATGTGAAAATCCTGGTGCTCGTTAAAGGCACTTTCTATCCCCAGCCTAATGCAATTCTACTGCGCTCGCTAAGTTAATTACTCGGATGAATTATAAGCACACAGACTGAACAATGGCAAGAAAGGACAAAAAAAGGAGTAATAAAAGAAAGTCACATGGAGGAGAGCTACAAAAACTCTAACGCTTCTATCTTACTTTTGGTTCACTTGTTCATTTTTGATATAAAAATACCAAAAAGAGGAAGAAAAAATAAGGAACACCATCTGTAAAATATATTCCTTCCCTTTTTCTTCCTCCAGTGCCATCCCATTTTTTTTTTCTTGCAAATTATTTTTCTCATAAGCCTTCTAGAATTTTAGTATTTTTCATGCATTTTTCCACTTAAACACAGGAAGCATTTAGATACAGAAAGTCGGTATGCTGCAGAGGTTTCAAAAAAATGTGCATTTTGAGGAAGGAAAGAAAAAAATTTTGTTTTCTAAAGCTGAACAGGTTTTGATTTTCTACCTGGAAAAAGAAGTGGAATCTCTAAATAGTGATGGCTTCACAGAACATCTTCAATCAAAAATTAATAACAACTTTGATGACAATTTTGTTATTGTGATCCTCTGATGATACAACATAGATTACACTGCATGCTTTATAAGAAATGTTGAAGGAAGAGCCAGGAAAGTACCTGACCAGGCATACAAACCCTGGCTTCATACTGGTAGGATTGAGATGCCTCACGGGCTACTAAATCCACTGGAGCCAACCTGGTTGTCCTTCCCTAGCAACAGCAAGGCCATGGAGTCCTTTGATCCGTATTAAACTCAGTGCTACTCTGAGTCCCAATCCTGCAAGGTCCACTTGCCTTCAGCCTGTAAAAATGGGGACAATTTCCAGATCATATCTACCTACCTCTGGTGAAAAGTAGTGGTCTCTGTCCTTAAGTCCACTTGTGAACCACTCAAAGCAGAAAGTGTCTGAGCTTCCTGCAGACCACAGTGAGAAAAAAAAAAAAAAAAAAAAAAAAAAATCACTGTACAAGAGTGAGGAAATGCCACATTGCTCAAGCTCTCCATTCTTCTGGCTTCTAAGAGGATACTGTAAATTACAGCGTAAACAGCTTTTGAAATGACATAAAAAAAAAAGTGGTGTGTCACTTGCCAGTGTCCCTTTAACTATGAAAAATAACAGCAACATAGGAAAAAATGTAAATTTACCATCAGGCAGATCTTCTCCCACAGCATAATGCAGAATTTGATGAATAGAATGAATGAAACAACAGAGGATCCAAGCATTACACAACAGCTATAATTGTGCTAACCAGCTGTAGTCATCTGCTGCTTCCAAAAAAAGTTCAGAGCATTTTGACAATGTCGCCTGTGCAGATTGGAAGGCTGCAGCAAATATGTATTTCCATTTATTACTTGGAAAAAAAAAAAAAAAAAGTAGGACCTATTTCTCAGTGTCAGATTTTCTTGGAAGGTGCCAAGACAGCAGAGAGTGAAGAACAGGATCACTTGTAGTGTCAGGAAAAAGAAAAAGCAGTATAAATTAAAAAGAAAAAAAAAACCCAGCATCTCTTCCAAGGAAAAGCATTTTAGACAAGCACACACTGCTGGTTCCAGCTGCACTGGTGACCAGAGTAATCCTTGCCTTTTCCCTAAGAGGTTGGAGCACCATGCTCAACCAGGCCTGAGCATTTTAGTCCCTAGGAAAGGTGTTGTGGGTTTTTTTTTTTTTTTTTTTTTTTTTTTTTTGCCACTGGGTTGTTATTCTGAAATAATTACGTGTGGCTGGCTTGACTTCTGGAGGCAATACTTGGGAATTTGGCATAGTAAAGCCCAGCTTTTAGGCACCGTATACAACACATGGAAAAGGCTGGGACTGTGCAGCACTGAGCCTGGAGCTACCCAGCCTGGGGAACTTCGAAGGCCAAGGCTTTCCTGGTGGCATTTCCTAAACCTATGGCGTTATGTTGGTATCCAGAGTGGTGGTAAATGCCCCATCCCTGGAGACATTTAAAGTCAGGCTGGACAGGGCTCTGAGCACCTCATCTGCTCTAGGTGTCCCTGTTCATTGCAGTGGAGTTGGACCAGATGGCCTTTACAGGTCTCTTCCAACTCAAATGACTTTATGATTCTACGATATGGGGGATGGGGAGGATACAGTAACTCCACGGGTGTGGGGTGATCTGGAAATGTAGATGAATCCACTTCAGAAAAAACACACCATTAACATGATTTCAAATGGACTGCTTTCTAATAGAATGCCTTTTTTGATACTTTCTACTTTCTACTTGGTGTGCAGGTCAGATTCATTTAATTTGGAGGTGAGACGGGCAGTTTTATCCAGCTTTTAGTACTTGGTTTTGTTTTTGGTCACAGATCATTTACTGAACCTGTTTTAAGTGGAATGGAGGTTTTTTTTTTTTTAAGCCAAGAGGGTTGGTTCTGGCTTGTTACAAAACAGCAGCTTTCAACAGGATCCAAATCTATCTTCAGCTTTTCTGGGTAACTCTAAATGAGTACTTTAACTTGGGGATTTCTGTGCCGAGGAAGAAGGGAAGTTAACAACTCAGCACAGCACACAAGTAGAACTGGCATAAGGGTGTTTCTGACTGTGCATGTCTCCCTTTTTGCACTTGAACAATAAAATATTAAACCGGGAAGTTGCCCTGCACCTTAGGAATTGCAGTTCTCTTGTTCTTTCCTGGATCTCAGCCCATGTTCTGCAGGACTTACGGCCAGAGACAGTGGGGATGGCAGTTAAGTAGCTGTCCTGCTTAGGGGAGAAAGGCCTTTTATTTAGTTCAGAAAAGCCTGGAAGTATTTTAGTGCTTGCCCACTTTCTCTGTACAAATATTTCCATGGAAACTGTTTGGCCTAATCATGTGAATTAAGGGAACAATATTTACATACAACTAAATTCAGTTTTTGAAACTCTGCAAACACAAAACTCACAGGAAACAAAAAAGAGAGGATAGAACAATCACACAGTCCAAACCCCGAAATACAGCTTCAGAAAAATGTTATTGGTGATAGTCTTGCTTCAAAAGAGAAGTCAGACTAGACGACCTCTAGAGGTCCCTTCTAACCAAAATTTGTATGAGACTGTGACTCACATTTCATCATTTCTTCTCCTCAGCTCTTTTGTTAGTTTTCCTAGTAAGAAACTAGAATGTAAAGCGAAAGTTCAATTTACGCCAAGATCTGTGAGCCATGATGTCTCTGGATTATGCTATAGGCAAACTTTCAGCTTCTGCTGCTAAAAAGTGTCAGAAAGAAACATGCAAAATCAAAGGCTCCCTTCTTTCACCATCAGGAAACATACAAGGTCTCAGGACTCTCTCAGGCTCCCTTATCCAGTTGTGATTTTCCATACAGAAAATAGGTGTGGTGGATATTGCGGTTAAGCTCAAATGACAGGGTCCAGCCTCTGTGTGCAAGGGTTGGAAGTAGAGGTGGGAACGGGTGCTGACCAGCCAAGTGAGCCATTTTGCCTCATTCTAGCTCTTGGAATGGGTAACAAAGGTCATCCAACAAGGAGCCCACTGGGCAACAAATATCAAAGAAAAATAACACAGCCCACTTCAAAACATTGAGGAAGCTTGAAGGATTTTCCCATCCAGCTGTCCATGAAAGATGATACTATTGGAGACACAGTGAATCACTCTCTCTATGTTAACTTCAGATAGTTTTTGGACTGGGACACCTTTGAGACATTTAAGAAAAATCTAGGCAGGGCAGATTGGCCACCTCTATCTGGAGTTTTCCTCCAGCATCCCCAGTGCCCCTCCATCCCTGTGATGAAGTGAAGGCACAAACACAGTGAGCTTATATAATCAATGAATATTAGGATGCTATAATTACAAAATAAACAGAGTTAGACAAAGCAGATAATGATAACAAAAAGAGAATAAATAGAAAGCTTACCTCCATCCTGGGCTCATTCATAAAACTCCAGCAGAGGCAATCTCCAGATGAGATCCTTCCCTGCTGGCAGCCAGCTCTTAAATAGGTCTAGGAGGGCTGGAGCCTGGCTCCACCCCTTCCTGCAGCACAGGTGAATTGCCTTCAGCTGTGCTCCTCTGGCTGACTCATGGCTCGCCTCAGGTGATCAATCAGAGGTTCAGGCTGTGATTCAGCAGTTCCCATACAGAGCTGTGAGAAGCTGTGCACCACTTGAGAAGCTCATCTTCCAATTTATCTATCTCACTGCCCAGCCCAGCAGTAAGGTAGCCAATTTGCTTTCTAACCCAGGATTTCGAATGAAAATTTTTTGCCTTGACTTCAGTAGACAACAATGCGCTGCTGAGTACCCTCTTCTTTATCAGCTCTTGTTGCCTTTGCAGTGATTTGGGAGTGCTCAACATCTCTCGCCACTGTGGCCTCCAGATGCTCCGTACTCCCCTCTCTGCATACATATCCTTATTCTTTTTGGACACCTAAGCACAAGTACAATTGCACCTAAGGTGCAATTTCTTCTCATTTGATAGGTGTTGCAAACTCTGTTATTATCCTATGGTTCAGGAAGACCACAAGCCTTCCTGAAGATGCCATGCCCAAGCACATGAGCAAAGGAACAGTGGACTTGCCTCATCTTGGGGGATGCCTGGATGGGAGGAGGACCTGTTATGGTGCTGAGCTCTCCTGCTTGGGATGTGCACACTGCAAGGGAATGCGGAGCCGGGCTGGGTGGTGGTGCCTCTGGCTTCCAGGAGCACACAAGCTGGGAGCAGGGGTATTGGGGCTCTCTGGAAGGATCTGCACGTAATTGCCTTGCTCTGGCTCTTCAGAGAGGCTCAGCCCAACCTTCCCCCCCCCCCATCAGCACCCACTCTCTGGAATTTGCATGGTTTATCTCACGCCCCAGCAGGGTCCGAAGCAGCGTGCCGCACTGAGCCCCTGCTTATCGCAGCTCTGACATGGCTTTTCTAAGCAAATGTTTAGCCCTACTTGACTTGGGATGAGTGCTGTATTGATTATTAACTTTAAACAAACATCTGGTTTTCATTATGAATGGTAGCAGACCAGAGAGGGGTGCTGTACTGGGCGGTGCGGTCACTTAACAACCATCAGGGCTGGCTATAAAGAAAATTTAACATATCCTGTAATTACAGTCTGCACAGCACAGGGGGATTTGGGATCTGCAGATCTGATTTCAGAACAGAAGAAAATGTTTATTGTATCTGCTACGCACATTTATTTACTTAGTAGTAGCAAGGCTTTTGAAATATTGCCTGTGCAAGAGCTTATTTTTTGCTTACGAGAAGGACTTTCTTGTTTCAGTCAGGAAACTTGAGCAAGGCTCACGGTCAGGATGGCCTGCTTAATGCTTTTACAGGCTTTGGGATTTCAGGGTTTGCAGATTACACGGGTCTGCTCTGAAATATAAATAACATCTTCCACCCACCGCCAGCAGTGAGGGCAGAGCTGCAGCAGGGATGGCTTCTGGTGGCCCGGATGATGGGGACATCATCCCCAGAGCTGTCCCCAGCCTCCCAGCAGGGTTCTGTAGGGTCTTCAAATGTGGCCCTCAGCCTGTCCCCACACCGGTGAACCAAAAAGGGTGCATCTGCACCCGGCGGCCGCAGCATCTGTGTCCGGCTCCCAGGGAATTATCAGCCAAAGGGACGTTTTGGGGATGATGTAATGCTGTAACTCGAGCTCCAGCTGAAAGGACATGGTAGGTGGAGTTTCTATGGAGCCAGACAGAGCTGGGATCCTCTCCCTCTCTTTTTCTCTTTTCCTGGCTCATTCAGGCTGTCTCAATTAAAGCTCAGGCAAATTAATCTTACACTCTTAATGTCAGTTGCTATTTTTCTAATTCACCTCCACACTCTTAAAGACTATTTCTCCAAACAAAATGGTTCTGTTCTTCAATTTCAGGCTGTCAATTTCATGGGCTGCTGATACATTTATTAGGTGTGTAATTTGCTATTTTTAGGAGGCTGCGGGGGAGCAGCACCGTTTCTTTCTTTCTTTTTTTTTTT